TCAGTCCCTACTCCCAAGTCATTTGTCTTGAAAGTACAAGCGACATCTGTATTTTTAGGGTAGAGTTTTGAAAGTATTGGCTGAAGTCTGGTTCCACTGAAGGCGCTGGGAGGTTTAGAGGTTTCCAAAATAAAGTTAAACATAAAACATAGAATATTAGAATGGGAAGGGACCTTCAGAGGTCATTAAATCTAGTCCTCGGCCATCAAGGGAGGACCAACCACCCTCTAGATCATCCTGATAGATGACAGATATTTGTCTAACCTGCTCTTAAATATCTCCCTAGGCAATTTATTCCAATGTTGAATAACCCTGATAGTTAGGAAGTTTTTCCTAATGTCCAACCTAAGCCTGTCTTGCTATAAATTTAATCTCATTGCTTCTTGTCCTAGCTTCAGAGGTCAAGGAGAACAATTTTTCTCCCTCCTCCTTGTGACACCCTTTCAGATACTTGAATGAATGAATCTTTGTGAGCCAAGGAAGTAGGATTCCTTCCTTCTCCTCACAGAACAGGTGGTTCACTGAAGCACAACCAACGACAGCGATAGCCGAACGAGGAGCTCAATCGGATACTCCTGAACCACAAGACTCATCTAGCCCTGGGGGCTGAAATAAACTGACTGGAGATACTAGTTGCCCAACTGTGCATTACAATGCAAAGTACAGTGAAAGCTTGACACACGTTGGATATAATTGCACTGTTTGCACATCCCTTCTCAACATGTTACAGAAGGGTTCCATCTGATAAACACTGAGTCACAATGTGAGCTCATTTGCATGGAAGATTAAAATCTATTAGCATATTTGGCAGCCTTCCCCATAGACGCCATTGAGACGCTGTTGCCAAAAACACAACGGGGCAGAATGTCAGCTGCTGTGAAAAAGTCATTGCTATGCAACAGGCATTCTTCAGAATCATTCCAGAATCCTGCAGGAAAACTTCATGGAGATGAAATGCAGCTTGCAGACACTTACAGGTGTTGCGAGTGCATGGTGCTGCTCAAAAATGGGAGAGCTTGAAAATACTTGGATGCACTAGAAACTCAGGAATGCAGGGAAGGTTCCACCTTTTAAACAAAGCACACAAACTACATGGAGTTTGTACAAATGGCAGAGATGCTATGCATAGATGAGGGAACGGAAGACTCTCATATTATCAGGTGCCTTTGTAAGGTCTAATAACCACATGAATATTAGCACATACCCAGTAAAAAAAAATCTGATTTTACAGTGTCAAAGGAACAGGTAAGCACCTGTACATAAGAATGGCCATACTGGGTCAGACCAAAAGTCCATCAAGCCCAGTATCTTGTCTTCCAACAGTGGCCAATGCCAGATGTCCCAGAGGGATGAACCGAACACGTAATCATCAAGTGATCCCTCTCTTGTCGTCCATTCTCAGCTTCCGAAAAACAGACTAGGAACACCATTCCTACCCATCCTTCAGCTTCCGAAAAACAAAGACTAGGAACACCATTCCTACCCATCCTGGCTAGTAGCTATTGATGGACCTAACCTCTGTGAATTTATTTAGCTCTTTTTTAAACCCTGTTAAAGTCCCTGGCCTTCACAATATCCTTTGGTAGGGAGTTCCACAGGTGGACTATGCGTTGTATGAAGAAATACTTCCTTTTGTTCGTTTTAAACCTGCTACCTATTATTTTCAGTTGATAACCCCTAGTTTTTGTGTTATAGAAATAAGTAAATGACTTTCCCTTATTTATTTTCTCCACAGCAGTCATTAGTGTATAGAACTCTGTCATATTCCCCCTTAGTCATCTCTTTTCCAAGCTGAAAAGTCCTACTCTCATTAAACTCTCCTTGTACAAGGGGATGGGTCCTTCCGCTCACCCCTGTGCTGGTCTTTTCGTTCAGGGCGCAGGCTGAACATGCCAATTTATCGTTTCCCAGTCTCCAGTCCCATGAGAAAAGGAAAGTTTCAACGGGGGTGGGAGGTTTGCCCGCCCCTAAGTTGGGGGCACAGGATTGGGGGGCCCGGGCCTGCCCTCTCTCATGGGGCCCCAGCCCAGGGCCCTAAGGAGAGGCTATATCATCGTTCTGTCCAGCTGGTGGGGGTGGTCCCAAAATTCATCAGCCCACCGGCAAGTCCTAGGCTGCTCAGCCCTGGGATGCTTCCTACCCTGCTGGTCCCTGTGCCCCTCTCCTGACCTCCGTTACTCCTCCTTGGTGCTTCTCCTCCCACCGTGCCCCCTCTCTCCTTCTTGCCCAGCTCCTCTCCTTTCCTCCTCCCTCCACCTTCCTCCCACTAATGCTCTGGGCGCCTCCTTTTTATTTTCTTCCTCCGTCACCCCCCCATGACATCACCCCCCGTCAGGGAGCAGGGCGCCCTGATGTCACCCGCTGACCTGGGGGTGGGGCTTCTTGACGTCACCTGCTGACCTGGGGTGCGGGGCGTCTTCACGTCACAGGCGTGCCCCGGCACGTAGTGCCTGACTGCCGCGCCCGTCAGCTGCATGGCTGCCGTGGAGCAGCGCGCACAAGGGGCCGGCATCTCCCAACTCACCCCAAAGAGCGCAAGTGCTGCCGCGGGGTTAGTGCGGGGCAGTCCAGTCTTGGCTGAGCCAGGTGGACTTGCCCCATCACACTCCTTATATGGCAGCCATCCCTAATGATTTTTGTTGCCCGTTCCTGAACTTTTTCAAGTTCAACTTTTTCAACTTTTTCTCAAGATATCTAGTTTGAGATAAACTGTCCACATCTGCATGCAATATTCAAGATGCGAGTGTACCGTGGATTTAAATAGAAGTAATAAAATATTCTCCATCTTATTCTTTATCACTTTCTTAATGATTCCTAACGTTCGGTTTGCTTTTTTGACCGCTGCTGCACATTGTTTTCAGAGAACTATCTGCAATGACAGATCTCTATTGAGTGGTAATGGCTAATTTAGTCCTCGTCATCTTTACATGTTTAGTTGGGTTACGTTTTCCAACATGCATGACTTTGCATTTATCAACGTTAAAATTCATCTGCCATTTTGTTGCCCAGTCGCCTAGTTTCGAGAGATCCTTTTGAAGCTCTTCACAGTCTGTTTTGGATTTAACTATCTTGAGCAGTTTTGTAGCATCTGCAAACATTGCCACTTCACTGTTTACCCCTTCCCCCAGATCACTTATGAATGCGTTGAGTAGGACTAGTCGTAGCACAGACCCATGAGGGACACTACTAGTTATCGCTCTCCATGCTGAAAACTGACCGTTTATTCCTATCCTTTGTTTCCTGTCTTTTAATCAATTCATAAGAGGCAGAAGTCCCTGTGACCTCAGTGGGAACACACATTATTAGTGGCTGTTTGCATTTCATCCTTTCTTAAAGTTGATAAAACAGTATTTACTCATTCAAGGCAATTGAGCCCATATTATGCAGAGTAGTTGGCCTATTCATATGTCATAGGATAGAGGTCTATACAATCATGACTGGTGAGGAAAAAGTGAATAATGAAAAGTGATTTACTTATCCCCACAATATAATAATTAGGGGTCACCAAATGAAATTAATAGACAGCAGGTTTAAAACAAACAAAAGGAAGTTTTTCTTCATTCAGCGCACAGTCAACCTGGGGAACTCCTTGCCAGAGGACGTGGCAAAGGCTAGGACTTTAAGAGGGTTCAAAAAAGAGCTAGATAGATTTGTGGAGATTAGGTCCAATCAATGGCTATTAGCCAGGATGGGTAGAAATGGTGTCCTTAGCCTCTGTTTGTCTGAAAATGGATGACAGGGGAGGGGTCACATGAGGATTATCTGTTGTGTTCCCTCCCTCTGGGGCATCTGGTATTGGCTACTGTCGGTAGACAGGATACTGAGCTAGATGGACCATTGGTCTGACCCAGTATGGATGTTCTTCAGTTCTAAAAAAAATTAGTTTAAATGTTCTGCTGTCATCGTTGAAGCCCAATTCTGTTTCTTTAGCCAAAATATGACAAATGTATACAGAAAAAAAAAAAGCAAAAGAGACCAGCAAAAAGAGAAAAAGGCAGCTTTGGTTTCTGGTGCATTTTCCATAGCCCTGAGCAACAAAGGTAAGCCAATATAATTGTCTACCATAGACCAGCTCCAAGTAAGGCCTCCTCCCAACAGAACTGGTCTGGTCCTCTCACTGTCCAAAAGCAATGGCTGGCCTCAAGTAGACGTGTATGGAAGGCAACCTAAACACTCAGCTTGTGCATTAGCTTCCACATCTTGTCCTTTGATATACCAATAGGACATAGCTGTGATTTAGCTGCCTGCATGAATGCACGTCATCGGTAGATCGTATAACTGAGTGAAGGAGCTATGAGTCGCTATTTTGAGATAGGCTATAAAGCTCCTCAAATTTTGTCCTTGGAAAGAGAATCTGATGAAGGTTGAAACTGGTCTAGTGATTTTTGCCTCCTGCTGCTCTGACATTTGTCTGAGTCAATATACATTAATGTCAGTTACTTTGCATTGGAAATTTCCTAAAGTGCAATTTGGTTTTGAAGCTCTCCCACCTCTCTCATTCACCCCATGGGAAAATATAAAGGCTGAAATTTTTCCTGATAGCCGAGGCATCACTCACACGGTGAAGACAAGAATAGAAATTAAAATCTCAATCAGTAGATGGGACATTGCCGACCACATGTCTGATCCAAAGCTTACTGGTGTTAACAGAAATCTTTTCACACACTTCAGTGGTAAATTGATTGAGCTCATGGTAAAAGCTGGTAAAAAAAACTCCTTCAAAAATATTTTCCATCTTTGGATGTGAAAAGGTTTAAGGTTTTTTTTGTTTTGTTCTGTTCTTTCATTAAATGGACATTTTCAAGAAATTCCATGTCTGCAAAATTGTTACTTAAAAACTAATTTATTTTTTTCTTTCCAAAGAAAAATGTTGATGAAAGTGGACATTTTTCCATTTCTGTTGTTTTTGGGGTAGGGAAGGGAAAAATAATTACCCAACCAGCTCTACTCCTAGTAAAGCTTTTCAACATATTAAAGAATGACTCTGTGTTTTTTCCTACCTGGAAAATGCAGCTACATTATCTGCTAATGTTTGCTGATTGTCTGCTCCTGATCGGTAATAGTCATACACGGCTTTCGGAAGAACTCTCTCGGCACATTGTTCAAAATCACTCACACAAACTGGCTTTCCAGACATTTTGCAGATCCCACAGGATAAGTCTTTTCTTACATCTTCCTCTTTTTAAGCTCTATTTTTTGGTCTGTAAATCATTAATATGGGACTTTTCCAAAGTTCAAGAACCTGAACCTGTAGAACTGACTTTTAAAAATGTGTAAACAACGCTGTCCTGCATCTGGGCATTTGGACTTTGCCAGTCTGTTCTGATTCACAGTTTGAGATTATGCGTCCAGTGTGGTTGAGGCAGATCCAGTTCATACAAGTGTACACTGTGGGGAAAAGACATAAAATGGAATAAACAAGCAAAATCACCACAGTGGCACTGTATGGATACATGCATTAGAGCTTAATTTAGGCTAGTCCCTCAGATTAAGGACTGTCTCTGTAAGGTGTCATGTTCATTGCTCTAGACCAGGGTGGGGCTAGTCCCCAGCCCCACCCTTTCCTACCCAGGCCCCACCCCTTCCTGGGGGTAGAGCCAACCTGTGACCACATAGCAAAATTAAGTGCCCCCCCTTCTAAAATTATTGTCCCCCTTCCCCACAGCTATAGAGCTCATTGGTGCTAAAGAGTGACAAAGTTCCATTTGCCAAACCAGCTCCAACTCCAGGTTCAAACGCCCGCAAAGGCAAGGGATTCTCAGATGTCGGCAATTAAGGCAGCTAACTCCGGAGATCTGGCTCCAATTCTTAGCTCTCTCTCAGACTCATTGTCCTCGGGTAAGTGACTTTCTCGTCGTGGCTCAGTTCCCTGTCATGGCTCCTTCCCCACTCTGGCATGATAAATGCAGAAGTGGGGTCCAGCAAGTGTACCCCAAAGCCTTATCTACCAGGTTTTGGTATAAAACTTACCCCAAAATCTTAAAAACCTAGATCTTGGGAATAAAACTTCCACTGCCACCACCCAAATGTTGCTAAAGAAACCAGGGGAAAGATCATTTGGGAAATCTCACCCCTAAGATAAAAATCAAAGCACACAATTAACCACTGCCAGGTTAATAAGAAGAAAAGAAAGAACTTTTATTATTACAACAATATTCCTGTTGCAAACATAATGACTAGATAGGGAGGTAACAAAATATACTCATGGAGAAACTCCATGGGCCTAGAACTTAGTTACAAAGAAAAGCCAAAACATCTTTTAAACAGTGCCAGATCTCAGATCCCATACCCAATCCATAAAACAATAAAACCTAACGAAACTGCCTAAACTTTACCCTACTTACAGAAAATGAAGAATGATGTCTTGGAGAGAGAGAGAGACATGCTTGTCCCTCCTGTCGTTGCAGAGAACTCACTCAGAGAGACAAAAGGGAGAAAGGAAAAAAACCCAAATTCCTTTGTCCCAGTTTGAAAAGTCCCACCTACATTCTTATTGGTCACTCCACCTGGCTAGGTGTAGTTAACCCCTTAATCCCCAGGCTGCTGGCTAACCCTCATAATCATGACACAGGCAGCCAAGATATTTTGTGCCAAATTTCTGTGAAATGGGGCAATAATCGTTCCTCTCTCCAGCCCTGTTTGGACAATAACTGACCCCATGCCAGGCATGACGACATGGGGAGAGGGAACATAGGGCCTGGCCAATCAAAGGGGCCCAGAGCTCCAGGCTGCTGCTACAATAGTGGCAGCCAGGGCCCTAGGCCCTTTAAATCGCCGCCGGAGCGCTGCACAGTGCCCTCTGAGCGGCTCTGAGGGCTGGAGGTGAGGCGCACCAGGGTCCAGGCAATGCTGTGAGCTCAGGGCCTGTCAAATCAGTGTGTTTGTGCAGCATCAAGCACAGAGGAGCCCTGATTTTGGCTGAACTTCCCGGCACGTCTGTCATGTCACAAAACAAATCCCACCTCTCCAGAGCCCCTGTGACTTGTCACCCTGGCCCCTGGCTACTTCCTTGCTCCACACCTCCCAAGATCAGCGGTGCTGTGATGCGTCTTTCCCCCTGCAGGGGGTGCTGTGGGGCCGGGGAAGCCTTTGCCCATTGCTCCACTGCAGACACAAGAGGGAGAAAAAGACCGCAGCAGACAGGTGGGGGGAAGAGGGGGGAACCTGCACTCTGAGAACCTGGTGGGAAGAGGAGTGAATATTCCTGTAAAATGGGGAGTTGGGGGGGTCAGAACAGTGAAAGGAGATGGGGGTGGGGTTGGGAGAATTGTCTTGGTTGTCTCACTAGCTCCCCTCCCCTCGTCAGCTCCTGCCTGTCTTCTCCTTACCCCCACCTTCCATGCCCAAACCCATTGCACGTCCATTGTAAGATCTCACCGACCCTGGCTCCTTTGCCTGCTGGGCCCTTATCCTTAATTCTCTCTCCATCCTAGAAGGAGCAGTGCATGATGGGACTCGTGGTTTCTATGGGTTGCAGTCCCAAGATAAAGATGCGTAGGTTAGCTGAGAGTCTCCTTTCAATATTTATGCATTTTACAAGGTAACATTTCTCATTTCCTGGATCCTCTTTTTATTTTTTTGGTCCACACCTGAAGACATCATCCATAACTAACAACTTGCAAAGTCTTTTTGAAACTGTGTGATCAACTGAGATTTATGCCTTAGCTGGGAACAAAACGAACTCACTTAATGGTGGTTATTTAGCCCAAACGTAATAAGAGCAAAACAAGTCATTAAATCATAGTTTTGTCATTATAACATTAATTGTTTCTTACCAGCACATAACTTACAAGCACAAGGTATCTTATGTGTGCAACTTTCTTGCTCTGTAAGTGTCAATTGCTAGTGATGCACGAGTTTTTCATTGCTGTTTGGGGTAAAGGGAAAAATCTAGAATGTAATTCAAATCTAATCCTTCTAAAAGAGGTGTGGGAAATAATTTTCACGGGAGAGCCACTTAATGAATTTTGGTATATGGTCTTGTGCCGGCTCCACCTCTGGAAGGGGCAGGTCCTGGGGCAGATGGGGCGGGGCTAGGGACTAGCCTCCCCCAGAGTTGTCTGGGGTCAGAGGCTTGGAATTAAAAACACAGCAAAGGACTCTGGCGCCAGCCCTGCCACTTCCACATTGCCTGGCAGCCGCCCAGGGTTGCTGTGACAATTTAAAGGGCTTGAGGCTCTGGCGCCTGCCAGGTTAGTGTTGTGACCAGAAGCTATTTAAATAGGATGCTGCTGTGTGGTCCAGCACCTGGAAATTCAGTGGCATGGGCAGCAGGATATAGATAGAAAGCAGCCAGATGCAATTCATGGACGAGATCAAAGTGTTAGGAGGGCCAGATCTGGCCCAGCTGTTCTAAGTCATAGGATGAGGCACAGCAGAAGTTTGAAGGTTGCCTACAAGCGCTGTAGGTCAATATAAGGTCAATGTAAGGTCTTGTTTCTCACTGCACGACTCCATTTTTGAAGTTACACCAGCTTCCAACAGGACTAACAACGCTGAGAAATCGGATCCTAGGATCTACGTGGTAAGTGCTATCGAATCAGAAATTGTGTGTAATCAAAAAGCAAAGCCCTCCCATCAGTTCCCCTGCCATCTGCATTTCAGAGTGGCTTTATATTTCTTCACTGAGGCTGTACAGTAAATAACGTACGGTAAATAACAAACAAAACTGAGTCACAATATCTCCTAGTGCACTGCAATGCGATACAGATTCTATGGTTTTAGAACTGCGCTTCTGTCTTGTTTTAAAGGTGCTTCGCTGTTTTATGGATACTCTGTCCAGAAAATAAAGTCCAATGATGAGTGAGAAAAACACTTAAGATTCAGCAGGGATTTTCTAACAACTTCTGAGAAACACCTTAGGGAGTGGAACAGGATGGATGGGGCTGGCCATATGGTCAGTCTTGGGAAACGTTTAATGAATACTACAGCACTTAGAGAGAAAGCCGTACATCTCTGCTTTTCCCACATGAATGGAAATTAGTCTAAGAGGCTTGCGGAAAAAGCGAAGTTTATGCTTCTTATGGGTATTCATTTGCTGCAAACTTTTATGAGAAGAATGACTGGAAATGAATATTAACACATCTATAATTACACCACGAGATATTTTATTCTAGGGAATGCAGGTCATACATTCACGTCAATCTCAAGCAAAATCCAAAATGGGTTAATTGACACATCTCAACCCTCATGATACAAAATTGGGGCTGTAGCCTACTTTTAATATTTAAAAAGCAAACCGTCAATGCTAAACAGGTTCTCCATCTCAAGGCATATCAGAGAACAAACCCTGGGGGATAGCTGAAAACATGCAGCTCTATTCAAAGTTTGTAGGTTAGTTTATAAACTTGATAATTTGCCCCAAAACTGCTGAAGATAGCAAAGTTGTTCCATTCTTCCCAGACTGTTCCTTCCCCACACACACCCCCGCCCTCATCCACCCACCTTCCTACTTCTTTTCATTCGTCACACTCACGTAAATGAAACTGCCTTTATGTTTCTAGTAATTTTTTGGCACACAAACCACTGCTTCCTCTTATGGGTTCTGACTCTGTGGGCACTTTGGGGCTGGAAAACGTTACGGGAAAGAATTAGTGGGTGCTTAGCACTTAGCGGCAGCCAATTCCTCCCTGCTCCCCAAGCCTCCCACCAACCATCTTACCCTCCCTCTCAGCCCTTGTATCAGAAGGCAGCTATCCTGTGATTACACAATCCCCACCCATCAATATACACTCCCTTCCTTAGGTGATTGGGCGTGCTTGATCAGCACTTAGGCTGCGTCTAGATTGGCATGATTTTCCGGAAATGCTTTTAACGGAAAACTTTTCCGTTAAAAGCATTTTCGGAAAAGAGCATCTAGATTGGCACGGACGCTTTTCCGCAAAAGCACTTTTTGCGGAAAAGCGTCTGTGCCCATCTAGACACGCTTTTCCGCAAAAAAGCCCCGACCGCCCTTTTCGCGATCGGGGCTTTTTTGCGCAAAACAAATCTCAGCTGTCTACACTGGCCCTTTTACGCAAAAGTTTTGCGCAAAACGGACTTTTGCCCGAACGGGAGCAGAATAGTATTTCTGCAAAAAACACTGATTTCTTACAGTAGGAAGTCAGTGCTTTTGCGGAAATTCAAGTGGCCAGTGTAGACAGCTGGCAAGTTTTTCCGGAAAAGTGGCTGGGTTTTCCGGAAAAAAGGGCCAAAGTGGCTGGTTTTCCGGAAAAACTGGCCAGTCTAGGCATAGCCTTAGTGTAGGATCAGCTGTATGCTAGGATGGCCAACCACTGTACAGCAGAGAAAGGTTCCTACGGCTCCCATCTGGGTCAGAATCAAATGGGATATTCTTTGATGATTCTTTTGCTTCTTCTCAGATAGAAATGTAGAACACTACAACTGGAAGGGACCTCAAGAGGTCATCAAGTCCAGTCGCCTGCCCTCACAGCAGGACCAAGCACCATCTAGATCAGTGTTTCTTAACCTTTTTTTATATACAGTTACCCCTTTTTCAAAAAAAATTATAAGTATCTTCAGTACCCACAGTTTTTTTCTACCGTTGCAACACATTTGTTTAAACAACTTAATCGTAGCCAGGCAGGCAATGAAACTTTTGGGTGTAAAAAGTACAAAAATAATAAAGCGCTGCAAAACTTAAAACAAAATTCAGTTTTCTCCAAATTTCAGTTGTCTTGATGTACCCCCCAGACTTCTATCGAGTACCCCAAAGGGTACCACTGATTGAGAAACACTGATCTAGATCATCCCTGACAGATGTCTATCCAACCTGCTCTTAAACATTTTCGGAGACGGAGATTCCACAAGCTCCCTAGGCAATTTATTCCAGCGTTTAACTACCCTGACAGCTAGATCGTTTTTTTCCTAGTATCCAACCTAAACCTCCCTTGTGGCAATTTAAGCCATTGTCCTATCCTCAGAGGCCAAGGACAACAATTTTTCTTCCTCCTCCTTGTAACATCCATATGACAACCTATGGTTAACGTGTAATGGTACACCAATATTTTGGTGGAATGTTTCAGTGCTTCTTGAAAGCACTGCAGCAAGTTGTTTAGCCAAGTGACTTATTTACATAAAAGCTTTTCTATGGCTTCATCAGCGTGCCCTGCAAATACGAACGATTCTATGCTCAAAAGCACAGAGAAGCAGGCAGGTGTGATTATCCCCCTTTTAACAACTGGGAAATGGACATGTGGAGGATAAGTGACTTGCCGGGGTGAGACCGCACAGCCAGAGCTGACAGCTGAACACAGCTCTCCCAGGTCTTATCCACAAAACCATCCTTCCTCCACTGTAAGACTGTCACTACACCATGGGAAGAGGTTAAAAAAAGGGGGATGTTCATTTTTACCATGAGATATCCTCTCTCTACCCCGGCCAAGCGATGCATTGCATATTCTAGTTGTCTTTGGAAACTGTTCCCTCCTGGTGAGGGCAAAGGGTTAGACATATGACCTGACCACCCACCGCTCAGCACCCACACCTGGAATCTCGAGTTTCAAAAGAGCAAAACTCCCATTTCGGCACTTCCATGGAGAGGCCATCACACCCCAGAGGAGCTCCTGAGCTCTGAGCCCCTTCCTCAGGAACCTGAATGAGAACTCCAGGGTGCAGACTTCTACTGAAAACATGGTTTCTAAGGTCTATTGTTTGACATGCCACATAAACCAGACAGTGATCCATTGTTGAGTTTAGATAAATTATTTGCACCAGCTGATCAGTCGGGAAGTGGGACTTCTCTACAGTTCAATGAGAAAGACACATCTCCTTTTATTTACACAGCTATATGCTGCTCAAGTCTGGCTTGGCCAGACCCTTAATGACTTCGATCTACCATGAAGACCCTCTCTGCCACATCTATCTAAACAAATCACTTTCCTGTGTGCATCTTTTTTCCGACATACTGTAACCGTGACATGGCCTGGATCCGAGAATCCTTCCCCAGCGGGGACCAGCGTCGCAAACTGAAAATTAAGAGAGTGACAGAAAGGTGAGGCACTGACACACGTTTATCTCCCCCGGTGTCAACTTGTGAGTTGGGGCAAGTGTGCAGCCCTGGGTTGACAATGGCAGGGAAATGGAGGCTTCCTGGCCAGGCACAGCAAGTGGTGGATGATCAGAGCGGGGCATTGATGGGCTTGGAATATGGTCCAGTCAGCCACACCTGTAAGGACTGTGCCCTCATGGGCTGGGAGTAACAGGTGCAGGAAAAGATGGGCTTCTGGAATACGCTAGACTCTGTCATGAAGACAAGGGGCATTAAAAGTATATTTAAAATAAGCAAACGTCACATTTTCTCCCACTTCTTAGCCAAGGTGATCTATCCATCCCAGGCGGCTTCTGCGCTCCCATACCAATGGAGCGATTTGGTTCTAGGAAGCACTTGTGAAAGGACAGGGCACAAGCCTGGTCTAGCTCAAGCACAGAGTTCGGGCACCGGGGCCCCTGGTCACTCTATGCCATAGACCGATTTGCAAGAGAACAGCCTTTTGGGTTCCACAGACAGCGTCTGCCAAAGCCTATGCATTCTCTACCTCCCTCCTTACTCCCAAACCTTCACCAGGCCACAGGCCAATTGATAGGGCTCTGTGGGCTCCTAGAGACCAAATCTATGCACCATTGTCCAAGAAGCTCTGGCCTAGAACTTTAGCATGCTTCCAGACACCAAAAGATTGCAAGAGCAGGCTTCATGCTCACCTTGTAGGGTTTGCACCACTCCCCTGCACCCGCTGTAGTCACCGCACGGACTCTGACGAGATACTCCACATTGGGTGTTAGGTTCCGCAGTTCAACTGAGGTGCTTGCTATTTGGAGCAACCATGGGTTGAGTTTCTCAGTGGCCGTATCTGTACTGTTCACGTCTACTTCCTGCACCACCAGCTGGTAAAAACTCACCGGCTGCCTGGAGAAAGGGGCCATCCAGGAGACCTGAAAAGAGTCCAGATAAGCTTTCTTAGACCTGAGGATCTGCAGAAGCCATCCCTAGACTAGACAATGGGGAGATGTTGATGTTATCTTGGGAGCAAATACCAGAAACTCATGTTGCCACACCCAAGCAATCTGCTGTTCTGGGACCACAAATGTCCCTAGGCACCAGCCATATCTTCAAAAGGTATTGAGTGTCTAACTCTCCTCGATTTCAGAGAGGTTCCTTGCCCTAGTGACTAGTGCATTGCATCGTCAGGTCTGTTGAGTATACATACTTTATATGTTGCCTGGTGTGAGCACTAGCATTTGAAAGTGAATTATGTGCAGAGCTTGTGAGCATCATTTGTGTTTATATTTCTTTTGTCACTCATCAGAAGTAACACCACTGAAATCAGTGGATTTATATTGATCTATAACAAGTTGAAGTCGGGGGGGAGGAGGAATCAAACTTTTAATGTTTATTATTCATTACTGTTGGTTGAATTTCTGCGGTCAAAGTTTTCTATGTGAAAATGGATTTTCAACAAAAATGTTATGGAAAATTTCATTTTATTTGTTCTCCCCCCCACACACCCCATTTCCTTTTTTTAATATACACTTTTCCTCTCCCACCAAAAAGGAGAGAGAAAAAGTTGGGGCAGGAAGAGAAAGGAACACTGGTATAAAATCTTTTTTTTAGTGGAAGAGTAGAAAAACACGTTTAGGAAGTTGGAGAAAATGTTCTGTTAACTTGTTTTTAAAGATACACTTGTTCTAGTGGGAAGGAAAGGTGAGAAAGAGATGGGAAGGGAATAGGATGTGTTGGTAGGACTCAGTGCAGGTGGGAAGTAGAGTCAGAGTACATCTATACTGTGACACTATTTGAAATAACTAGCGCTATTCTGAAATAACTTAGTCCACCTCTACATATCAGGCAATTATTTCAAAATAGTGTCAAGCTGGAGAACTTCTTACTCTGACTCCTGTAACCTTCATTGTATGAGGAGTAAGGGAAGTCGGAGGAAGGGTGCTCTATTTCAAAATAAGTTCTGTGTAGATGCTCCCTATTTTGAAATATGCTACGCAATTGACGTTTCTCAATTTGCGCAGCTTATTTCGAGTTAAGCCCTGCTGTATACATGCACCCTGAGGGTATGTCTAGACTACATGGCTCTGTCGACAGAGCCATGTAGTCTAGACATACCCTCAGGGTGCATGTATACAGCAGGGCTTAACTCGAAATAAGCTGCGCAAATTGAGAAACGTCAATTGCGTAGCATATTTCAAAATAGGGAGCATCTACACAGAACTTATTTTGAAATTCTGTCAGCAGGGGAAGCCTTTGCCAACCGATCCCTTCTGTCTCGTGAAACGAGGTTTACAGGATCGGTCAGCAAAGGCTTCCCCAGCCGAAAGATCCGCATCTAGACTGCCACGCTGTGCCGGATCAGCTGATCATCGGCACAGCGCGGCGGCTGCCACGTTTATTTGAATGAAGCGGGGATTATTTAAATCCCCGCTTCATTGGCTATGCCGGAGACATGTAGTCTAGACATACCCTTAGTGAATGAGGTTGTGGAGAGGATTTGGCTGGAAAACAAAATTTCCATTTTGCAAGGGCTTTTGAATTTTTTGAGGGGGAGGGGCAGGAGCAAGGTAGAAGAGGAGAGATCTCTGCCTCATTATAGCTGATATCGCAGCTATAGGGCATTCATCTGGGAAGCTGAAGACCTAGTGTCAAGTCCTCTTCCATTGGCTCACAGGCAGGGATTTGAACCCACTTCTCCTACATCCCAGGCATGTCACCCTGCAGCCCAGCTACTTATGCTAAAAACCAAGCGCCTATGGCATGCTTCTTTGTGCAGTGCATATGGTGAGTATGAAGGACTGGGCAGCAAAGCTAAACACTCAAGCTGGAGCAGAGGAAGAAAATGAGGTCCTCTTGGAGACGAAACTTTTGATGGAGTGAGTTGCAATTTTCATTTCCTCTCCTAGTGCCCAGTTCACTACAAGTTGAACCTCTCTAGTCCAGCAACTTGAGGACCTGATCGGTTCTGAACCAGAGAATTGTCCAGACTACAGGAAGTTAATATTGTCTACCAGCACTTCCGCTGTTTACTGAGCTGTTACAGGACATTTAGGAGTAAATTAGAGCTAAATAACAGCACAGAACACAGAGCTGGGAGTGGTGGCTATAAACAAACTTTCTGGGACTGCAGGAAACTTGGCCAAACCCACGATAAGTGGACATCCAGCTAACTAAAATCATTCCAGACCATGGATGTTGCTGGACCAGAGCGTTCTGGACTAGAGGTTCACCCTGTAGCAGCATGAAAACCGGCAGGTGGTTTTGCTGTAGCACTGTGTGTGGCACTATAGAAAACCCAGGCAGAAAAAGACTGCAACAGGCCGTTCACTTCCCATGTTGCTGAATTCTGGGGACGTCTTGAGGAATATACTGGGGCCTTAGGCAAGGAGGTGGGTAGTGAGTGGGATGGCTACTTGCTCTACTAGCACAAGCTGCAAGCTGTTTTACAGGAGTAGCCATTTCCTGGGACCAACCCAGCCAAGGAAAGCCATGTTGAACTGTCAGGGAAGTACATTGCTTGCACACTGAAACGTTGATCAATTGTAACTCATCGGCTGTAACTCAGAAATCAGGCGGTTTGCTTTTAATGTGAGATGCACCCTTGTAGAATCGTCACCCTCTTCGTACAGTACAAATTAAACATGTCGGAGCAGCTTCCAGTAACTCTACTGAAATGAGTCAGCCATTTGTCCATGGACCTCTTGCCATACAGGAAGTCCCCGGGTTGCATACAAGATAGGGACTGTAGGTTTGTTCTTAAGTTGAATTTGTATGTAAGTCGGAACTGGCATCCAGATTCAGCCGCTGCTGAAACTGACCAG